AAAACCACCACTTTCATTCGATATTAACATAATTTGATTTATCTACTCAGAAAAAAAAGTAAAAATATTTTTGAATTAGCGGTAGACCACTTTCTGTTGTGTAACTCAAAATTACTTTCCAGTGTGGCAGTTACAAAACACACGTTGTAAGTACATTCACGTACACAAGTGAAACGTTTCTTAAGCCCTTCGATCTAAGGGTAAATACATACTATCGCGCATTCAAATATCCATTAGAAGGTTTCTTTTGATCCAGCTTCAATGAACGTTCGACGTTAGGATTAATTAGAGCTGCCATTCAAGCAACTTATTCAATGCATGTGCTTACAAACTTAAACTGTGCGTGCCTAAAAATTAAAATGAACCTTAAAACCTGTGGTTAATTACTAAAATTGAATGTCTGTTGGGTTCAGAATGATACATTAAAATTGTAAAGGTGACTAAGGTGTGTCGTTAGTGAAACACTGTTTGAGTCAGACAAGCGATCTAATTTTTTTCTAGGGTTACAAAGCAACAGTCCGTGTATCTATGGGATATTAGATAACAAATCAGAAAACATTGACACATAATCACCGAGGTTCATTGTAAACCACTACATAAAATTAAAAATTATTTATTTGACAATAGCCATTTTCACACTGCAACGATAACGACATGATACGAAACTCATATATCGTTAAATCCGATGACAAGATATCGTCACGATATCGGCATATGACACGATATAACCAATATATTGTTAGCATTGTTCAAATATAACTGCGCCATCCCAAAAGTTATAATAGAATAATTTTTATAAATTCAAAGTTAAATTTGCTTTATCTTTTATAATTAAGCCAAAAATTTTTTCGACACAGATATCGGCACGACAATTTGTTGGCGACGATAAACGACACAGTGTAAGCCTGTCTAATAGTGATTGTATTAAACTACTAGTCGGACGATATCGTGCAGTTATCATGTGCTTAAAGTTAATCGTCCAATGTGAATACGCCCATCCTCAGTTTCTTAGTGGATCACAGGCGGGTGTCGATCAAGTTGTCATCATGTTTGAGGCCCCGTATTTCGACCTTACTTAAATATAAATAATAAATAAATAAATATAACACAATATCACATACATTGTTCAGATTCCAAGATGAGTAGTCAAAGCCCTCGTATTATGGAGTATCTAAGACAACGAAAGTAACACAACACCCAGACCCGACACAATATAGAAAAGTTCATTTTCTACATTGACCCGACCGGGGATCGAACCCGGGACCTCAGATACCGGCGTGCGAACCACTCGGCTACGGAGGTTGTCTACAAAAATGTGTGGATTCTCGATCGGATCAATGTTTAAATTGAATTTACTATATTTTCATGGATCTGAATATTGTGGTGGTACCTTAGTTTGTTTCGTCGTAAAAGTTTACCTGTACGGAATTTTAGTTAGTATTTTATTGTTTACACTTGACCACTCTTATATTTTAAGAAGAGCGTTACATTCACTTCGGGGATGAGGAACCTCGACACATTTTAATTCATCGTTCTATTATTAAGTAGCAATTATTTATACATCAATAATAGATATGAGTAAAAAGTAGTTTGGCATGTGTCGGTTAATGGTTTTTATTTTATTTGTACCCAAACAAAAAGGTGATGTTATTCAACTTGGTAGGTATAGACCAAGTTATTTAGTTGCCAGCCAGTATAAACTTTGAATAAAATGTCAATTTTTGGTTTGCAGTGGGTTAAGCTGTGAGTTAAAAATATAATGAGTAGCTAAGTGGCGTAATGGATATGCGCCGCGGCAACCGATCGCTGTCGTTAAGCAACTTTCGCAAGGGTCGGTCACGGGATGGGTGACCAAAAAATTATTATCACGAGCTACTCCGTGCTTCGGAAGACACGTTAAGCCGTTGGGCCCGGCTGCATTTGTAGTCGTTAATACTCGCCAATCCGCATTGCTCCTTAACCATCCATAAGGAAAGCCTGAGCCCCTGCAGTGAGGACGAAATAAAGTGCTGATGATGATGATGATGATGAAGCAAATATAAAGTATCAAACAAGTAAAACGTACTACATTAATAGACATACATAATATATTTACAAAATTTAGCACACGTATTCATAAACCTTAACTCCACCGAAATAACATGCATACAGGTTTTGAGGTTACCACCTCTTTTTGGAAGTCGTTTAAGAAGAATCTTCTTTCGTGTGCTTCGTTTATATATACTTGAAGTTGGTGCAATGTAAGTAGATTATGAGAATGAAAAGGTTTTTTATAAAATTAATTCACAAAATTACTTTATGAAATTAAGTCACCTCATGATAAGGTTTATTTTTTTTTTCATTATTTTTATCAGTAAAAGATCTTGTTTTTTATTTTTGACAAAAACTTATAATATGTAATGAGAATGACAGATAAATAATAATTATTTGATTGTAGATGCTGCTATTGTCACTAATGGAAAAACGTTGACAGTAAATAAAATTGACATTGGCAGTACAAGGCAAATCATTACATAGCCTTTTTGGTTAAATTAATACTAATTATTGATCTGTTGTAAGGAAAATGGTACTCTGTAGTGATAAACCTTTTCGTTCTCCCATTGTACTCTTACCTTCACTTGTCATTGTCAACTTCAATGATACTCCTTTTATAAATGTATTTTTAATATGAGGTTTTCTTCGATCAATAATATAATCGAAGGAGTTATTTGAAAATTTATTTCATGTGGTAACTACGAGCAATGTATATCAAAATAATATACTAACTGTTTTCCCGTGACTGCGCCCGCGTAAATTATAGTCTACTATGTAAAACACGTATGATATAGCTCATAGGCGACGAATTTTTAAAATCGATCCAGTCGTTTTAGAGCTTTTTCATTATAAACAAACAATCACATCTTTTCTCTCTATTGTATAAGTATAGAAGTGCAAATATATTATCAACCTTCAAACTTTACTACATACCTGAATTATTTTGGATAACTCTCACACCTTTTAAAGAAACTTATTATTGATATTGTATTTATTATCGTATATTGAATAACTCAATTCATGGTAATATACTACACAAAATTTAATTTTAAACGCAAACAAAATAGCATCTAAGCACAAGTAGCCATCTTGAATAAATGACAGCTACGCATGCGCTGTTAGATTTTGCCATGATTTACCCTGGCCGAGGGGATGATTATATCCTTTCTCAGTTGAACTACACGTTTTCAATATCTGCCATCTCTTTCGTTTGTTGTCCATTGTTATTCCCTATTCAAATGCAGGAGGGTCTACTTTCTAATGCTGGGGTGTGATGCGATGTGAAGTTGGTAACTAGTACGACAAATATTTTGCAAAATCCGTTTCCTAAAATGTTATATGAAGTCATCTAGTACGATAATTAAATAAATGTATTTCAATAACGTACAGTGTAATTATTTTATGGCAAAACAAAAATAAGGATTAAATGCTATTTTTGGCATCTGTAAATGTTAACCTACTTATTTCAGTTTGAGGCATAAGAGCATATTTTCTACATTAAAATGGGCCCACATTATGTAAAATTAAGCATCTAATGCAACTCACTTTTAGCATTTTAGTTGATCGTTGAGAACTAAAATTATATTATTGTAACTAAACTAAAATTCATTGCATTAGACTTACCTAATTTTATACGACTGTCCGATATTTCTAAACAATTACACTAATGATTTTCGTATTAAATACTCAAATTAATTTAAAAACAAAATAAAAACATTAATATATGAATACAATAAATAAATAAATAAACAATGGTTTTGTTGCCTAAAGAAGTAACACAGTGTAATATAATAATTATTATTTTTTAAGTATAAATCTTTGTTTAATGATTATAAGTAACAAAAAATATGTAAATTCCGTTTACAAATAGTTGCGAAAATACTCCATTTAAATATCAAACAATGTATTATGATCCTCTTAAAAACAAACTTCAGAAGTCAATTTCAAAGGACAGGTAGCTTACCCCAAACAGGATTACTCAGCAGAATCCGCTATCTTTTAGTGAGCCGACCAAATCCGATATACAGTCAAAACATGTCAAAATCTTAACAAAGTGTCAATATTTGCACATTCACAGCAGCTCCCGAGGGACTAATATTGTATATAATAGGTAGTAGTCACGCGGTCTTTCTGTTCAAAGGGTTAAGAGCATTATTTACATTAAGTTGAAAATCGTTAATGTTGAAATAATAATATGGGATTTTTTTGAATTATAAAGATTCATTTATTTTATTGTAATTTTTTTTTAACACAATAAAATAAATTTTAACTACAGAAACGATAATATGTAGCAGTAGATCAAAAAGAAATTGATTGTAATGTTGGAACAGTTAAAAAGCAAAGAGTATTAGACAAAAATAATATTTTCACCATAGTTCAGTTCAGTGGCGAACTAACCTCATCCGGCCAGGGGCGCAATAGGTCCAGATTGACAACTTTTGCAACGGGCAGAAACTCGATATTGAGTTTACATTTTTACTTTATTATTATGATTTTGGCGGATAGCTGCAGCCCATTTGGAGGCCCGGGGCTGATCGCCCCTTCCGCCTCCCCCCTTAATCCGCCACTGGCTCAGTTATAGATTATGTTTGGTATTTTAATTCTTAAATATAAACAAAACAGCAATTTTTGTCAGGACTTGTGTTCTAAATATATTGTAGTTTATTGTTTAAATAAAATAAATTTTTTAATCGGCAATAACTCCTCTTTATTTATAGCGCCTTTTGACTAGAGAAGTACAAATATATTCATAAATAATCAACCTTAAAAATACTCGCTTCTTAATTACTAATTTTGTAAATATTTGCTACTATTTACTACAGGAACTATTTTTTAACAACTATATACATTAGACTTCTTTATTATAAAATGAAGTATGTTTTTTTCTGACATTTATATAACGCGATTTAAATTATTATATATCTGTTTTCTTATTTTTAATATTATGTAACTGTTTACAATAAATATTACAGAAATTGTAGATATAAATGTAAAATTTTGTTTATTAGGTTACTGATAAATAAATAATAATTTATATGTGTTACAGCAGCACAAGGAGATAAATTTATACAATTAATTTTGAAGCTAATGATGCACATATTAAGATTCAAAGTGGATCAAAAATATGTTGCCTCTTGTGGTGAACTTACATGCTGTCGACTATACAATATTAATAAAAATAACATGTTAAAATGTCACATTTTAGGAATCATGCCGGAATAAGATGGCATGATAAAATTCGGTGGCATATTATTTGAACCGTTCGGTGGAACTAAATTTACCATTGGCGTAGTATAATTAGAATAATTGTCAGGTATTCCACCAACTGGTCGATTGTCCATAAAATCCGATACAATACCTAATTTCGGAATAGTATCATCAGTACTATAAGGATCTGGTGAAGTGGTTAGCTTTCCATCTTTCTTTGCCTTCATTCTTCTGTTTTGAAACCAAATCTTTATCTGCCTTTCTGTTAGACCTAATGCGTGAGATACTTCTATTCTGCGTCGTCTCGATAAATACTTGTTAAAATGAAACTCCTTCTCTAATTCTAGCGTTTGAAAGCGGGTGTAGGTCTGTCTTGTTCTCTTTGAGCCATCTTTTTTGTCATCACCTGTAATTACAATAACAACATTAATAAGGACGATTGTGTATATCATACTATTATACTACAGTAACATACTATACAACAATTAATTTCGATAAATATCTTAAACTTACCATTCACACTCTTCATCCATGGATAATATCCTTGTGCCTCAACTGCAGCGGCCATTTTGTTCTCAGCGTAATCTGTATTGTCCCCGCCTGCTTCGACCCTTGTCACTTCCTGACAGGGTTTAGGTTCCAGCGATGACTGTGCGCCTTCTTTCGCGACCGCCCCACCCGCGGTACTTTTGCTCTTGATTGACGTCTGACCCTCACCATCGAATCCACCATGAAATTGAGGCAGATTGCATTCCTTCTCAGATGGGACCTCATTATTTTTTTCCCATTCAGCACTGTCTTTCGCATGGTACATCATACGCTGCAACATTTCTTCCGTATACGACTTATCACATTTGACGAAATAAGGTACAGGTTTTTTCTTTTGCGGTTTCGTTAGAAGAGCTCGCAGATTGGGTGAATCTTCTTGCTCCGGAGAAGCTGGTTTCATACTTGATATACTTTGTGGAGACCCGTAATTCATTTCTAATACGTTGCATTGATTTGGCGAGTTGATTGACCTGGCGTCTTCACTTCTATTGTCTGATATGGACTGGTTACGCAAAACATTAACTTTTTGTTCGTAAGCATAATTCTCTAATTGTTGTTGTTGTGAATAATAGTTCATTTCTCTCCATTTGTTTATCATCGCTATATTAGTCTGATTATTATGCATGTAATTTGAATCATACCCATGCCAATTACTCGGTTCTGATTTCACTACATCGTTTTGATTGTTTGTGTACGATCTTGTACCGTATTCCTCATTATGCATGTTAGAATAATCACAATTAGGAGAATAAATATTATTGTGATAGTTATAAGTATTTGCTGCCATCACTGGATACTGTCCATAGCCATAATGTTTCACTTCACTTGCACTTTGATTGTTCACATCTGCACTGTGGCTCCACATTTCACTTGCACGATTGCCAGCCGCTACCGATGACATTATGTCATTAAGTTATCACTAAAAGTCACTTCATACACTCTTTATGTCACTGAAACTGGCCTGCGTGGGAGTCGGTGTTCCGTCTCCTAGGTTGACTGCGAAACGAATGCAGTAAGTTCAAACAGTCGGCATGTCCCTTACAAAAGTAATACTTTTATGTGACCTAAAAAAAGTTTGGGGGTACTTTCAACAATAGCGTCGCCATTGTCCCTTTGCAAAGCTGTAAACCGGTGCCCTATCTCTTTCCGACGTCCCTCCAACTCGTTCAGTACAATGGGTGTGATAAAGACGGCATTATAATGCGGTCGTCGGAAAAGTTTGCAAATCTATAAATGTTTACAATGCCAATATTCCCAATATTTCGATTACGTAAGTGTGAGTGCGTATACGCATAGACAAATCATTGATTGGTTTGTGCTTGTTTGAGTTATTGAGGGTGTATAGATTGATTTTATTTTATTATTGGTTTAGTGTAAAGCCACGTATGTGTGTCACTGTGCGTTGCATTTATAAAGGGGGTTCTTAATTGAAATGATTGTTTTGATTATTGGTAAAAATACCGCAAAGATGAATTTTCCCAATTTTCATGTTACTGATTTAGTAAGTACTAAAAAAATATTTATAAAAAGGTTTTATATTTTATCTCGACTCGTGATTTCTATAAGCATTGTTTCACCATGCTATTGAATTCAAATCTTATAATTACAACCTTACGAGTATATATTTTTAAAATATAATTGTTTATTGTATAATTGTTGAGATTTAGTATGTCTATCTGTGATACAGGCAAAGCCTGTTGTATTTGAAATAGTTATTTTATCTATATATGTTATTTATTAATTTGTGTTGTGTCATATATTATAATAAGAAAAAAAATGTGATATTATTACTATTTATTTGCATATCTTTACTGTAAGAATGTACAATTGTTTGTTTTTTTCTTTAGATTTTATAGTCTGCGAAACTACTGGTTCAATTTTAAAATAAAAAATGAAAAAAATTGAGATTTCCGTTTAGCTTACTGAGAGGTAGGGTAGACTGGGTACGGTTGAAGCAAAGGACGGTTAAAACAAAACGAATATCTCGCAAACCGTTGGCGGGGCGGTGAGGGGTTCAAGGGGAGAACGAAGCGGACGACAGGTCTAAACACGAATCTTAGTGTTGCGTCACTCTCCGCGCACTTTGGCTGTTTCTAGAGGACCCTATTGTGTTTTGATAATCAAAAGTAAGTATTTTTGCTTGGAGATTTTTCCAATTATTGTAGTTTTTATTCAAGTGACATCATTGAGGGTGCGTTGTTGTTTGAAATGAAGCTCGCGGAATATGACATTGTGACTAGTTTTTGTCTATCATTATTGTTACAATGACTAATAACTGAATTTTACCTGAAGTAGGAGTTGGGGACGGTTGAAACAGTGTACTTATTATTTTTTTCTTGTTTTTTTAGATGCCTAGAGTACGCGTAAGAAAGACATCGAGAGGGCAAATAGACTTGTCGAAGTACAAAGACGCATATGAGGAGGTGCAAACCGGAGGATCATTGCGAAAAGCGGCAGCGAAGCACGGATTAAACCATTGTTCGCTTCTAAGATATATTCGAAAGCGAGATGTCTCTGGTGAGCAAGAAAATCCAGACATGGGATATAAAGCACACAACCGAGTTTTTAATGAGGTGCAAGAGCGAGAGCTTTCAAAGTACTTGATTCGATGTGCTGATATATATTTTGGACTACCTAAGAAGGAGGTAAGAAAACTGGCGTATGAACTTGCAGTTAAATATAATTTATCAAGACCTAAAACTTGGGATGATAACGAGCTGGCAGGTGAGGAATGGTTTCGGATGTTTATGAGAAGAAACCCCGAACTGTCTCTACGCGCAGCACAAGCTACTAGCCTCTCCAGGGCGACTAGTTTTAACAAAACAAATGTAGATTCTTTCTATGACAATCTGACCACTGTCATGGATCGTCATAAATTTGAGCCTCAAGATATATATAACGTTGATGAAACAGGCATAACCACTGTTCAAAAGCCCGACAGAGTAGTGGCTAGGCGTGGTGCTCATCAAGTAGGTTCAGTAACTTCGGCGGAAAGGGGTACATTGGTCACAGTCGCCTTTGCAGCGAATGCCATTGGAAATGTTATTCCGCCATTCTTCGTCTTCCCGAGAGTGCGTTATCAAGAACATTTTATTAGAGATGGGCCCCCTGGCTCCGCTGGAGCTGCTAACCCCTCCGGCTGGATGCAAGATGAAACATTTATGCATTTTCTGGAACACTTTAAAAACATACAAATGTATCTCTGTCTCATAAGGTGTTACTTCTGCTCGACAATCACTCTTCACACGTCCACATTAACGCACTAGACTTTTGCAAGAACAATGGCATTATCTTACTATCTTTCCCACCCCACTGCTCGCACAGACTCCAGCCACTTGATCGATTGGCATATGGCCCTTTGAAGAAAGCTGTCAATTCAGCCTGCGATGCATAGATGCGAAACCATCCAGGAAGGACAATGTCCATTTACGATATACCAGGGATTGTAGCGTCTGCTATGCCAGTTGCTCTTACGGCTTCAAATATTCAAGCCGGCTTTCGCAAAACAGGAACTTATCCGTATAATCGGAATCTGTTCACTGAGCTTGATTTCGCTCCTGCATTTGTTACGGATAGACCAAATCCCGAAAATACTACAGAACCAGCTGTTGTTCCTGTACCAAATACTACCCTACCTGTAGAGCCTGTATTTGTAACGGATGTGCCAAACCAAGAAAATGCAGCAGAGGTAGCAATAGTTCCTGTATCAGTTACAAATCCACCTGAAGACAAAACTCCGCCATTATCACCTTCTCTATTAAATTACGAACAATCCGCAAATATGGTCGCTCAACCAGGAGCTATCAATAGTTCATTAGTCCCTATAATTGAAAATCAGGAAACTGTAACTACAGCACCCAGACACCACAGCAGCATTAATATTCAGGAAACTTCTCCGAAACCCAGTACAAGTGCTCAAACAATTTCTTCTATTATTCCCGCTGTATTTTCACCGGAAACAATACGACCATTTCCGAAAGCTGCTCCAAGGAAAAATAATAATAAAGGGCGCAAAATCAGGAAGTCTACTATTTACACTGACACTCCAGAGAAAGAAGAGATAAGAAAAGAGCATGAAATAAGATTGAAACGAACAAGAGCTAAACAAGTGAAGAAGTAATTGGATGGAGGAAAAAAGAAGAAATTGAATAGAGGAAAAAAGAAGCAACTTGATGGAGGAAAAAATAAAAGAAACACCATAAAAGGAAAACAGAAAAATATACAAGAGGAGGTATCATCAGAAGATGAGGAGTACTTCTGTCTTGTCTGTATGTCTTCATATTCAAAGAGCAGATCCGGAGAACAGTGGATCCAATGCATCAGTTGTAAACTGTGGGCTCACGAAGAATGCACAGAAAGTGGTCTTAGCTATATTTGTCAGAATTGCTACTCTGATTGATCTTTAAATTTGGCTTATCCTTATTGGACTAATGAAAGCCAAAAATTGTTTTCTTTCAAACTTTTTTTTTAAATATTATTGTTTAGTTTGCTATGTTTAAAAAACAAACAGTTGATTTTGGTTTAATTTACGTAAATTTTATATCAATGTTAAGCAATTTGTAGTTACTTAGTTTTTTGATGATTGATAATATATATTTTAAATAATATATATGTGCTTTAAAACATTAAAGGCTGATTAAAAATATCGTTTCAAGTATATTAATATTGAAGACTGCTTACTAATGTCAAAGAGTTACTTAATTATTCTTAGATTTAAAATAAACAATTAATAAAACGGGTTGTAATATTATATTTTGTATTATTCGCATGTGTTTCAACTGACCCCATTCACGGTTTCAACCGCCCCTGGTATGGGGACGGTTGAAACAAATACGATTTATTTTTTAATTTGATCTACTTTTAAAAATAACACACCTGGGACTAAAAACATATTGCCTATTAGTAGACAGAAACATGTTCTTTTATTTAACATATCTTCTTCATCGCTCGGGTTATAAAAAGCAAAACTATGGACGTTATAAGTGAAACTGTTTCAACCGTACCCAGTCTACCCTAATTGGTTTAATCTTCACAGTTGCCTGTCACTGATTTCGAACCCATAATCTTATGCCAACCGGGTGACTATTTTGTTAGTGTAGCTTCTCCTCCCAAGTTCTTCAGTAGGCTTTGTTACATTTGCGTGTTACTTTTGAGTGAGCGTGTTTTCAGCTATTTTAAGCGATCTACCTAAATAGTCAAAGAAGTGTTTCTTAAATGGTTTTTTTATTATCACTTTTAGCATTTTTAATGAAAATAATTAAATTAAAATTTTGACTAACCAATCCGCGAAATGAAAGATGTAAACACAATACATTTTCTCATTTATAACATTAGAATGGTAAAAAGAAATATTCATCCTGTAGGATACACCCCGAGAACATAACTCACGCATAGTAACAGTTCAATCGGGGGTCGCACAATGGCGCAGTGGGAGACGTGCGCGTGCGACTGATTCGCGTCTTTGATACCGTATCATTTCAGCACCTACCTACTGAGATTTAATTTCTAATTCTACAAGAGAAAACAAATAGTACAAGAGATATTAATAAATTAATTCGCCTTTTTTCTGTCTTTTATAAGCTTCTCCACTGTTACATAAACTGAAAGTTAGGCAATGTATAAAAAGAAAATACAGATTATCTTTTTGCGTAAAAGAAATACCTTAAAAATATTTGAACATATGTTACTTTAAGTTTTCAATAATAAGGGACCATTTGACGAATATCTATCTGGTCATGGTCTAATAATGCATTACCTAAGATGTAGAAGAATAAATAGTTATTCTATGCATCTTTAATGAAATCTCCGCATCACTACCTGTTGAACCTGTGCTTTAAACCAATGTGTTAAAGTTCACATTAGTGTCAAATATTTTGGGACGATAATGGTTTTACAAAATTA